TAGGTTAATTGACGTTCTTAATTGACATAGTCATTAAAAAGAGGGATAAGGAAGGAAGTCAATCCTAAGTACATGTAAATGATATTTTCTCAAAAATTTACAGTTCTTTGTCATTTAATTTCAATTCAACTCTTATTTGCAAAACCCAATCTGTTTAATATACTTAATAAGTATAATTGAGAATTTCCATTGAAACTGTTCTTCGTGAGATCGACTTTTATTTAATCGAAATACTATACTTGAAAATTTTGGTACGCTTGCCAATAATTCAACAATACATCAAATTTTCAAAAAAATTAAGGGCAAAATAGTAATTTAATAATTTCGGGATGAAAAAGGAATAATAGAAAATGTTTAAAGGTATAATTGAAATTTTAGAAATAAAGTAAAGGTATGTTAGAAAAAATAATTAAAATATAGAATGAAATTTGAAATTTTAAAGAATTAGCAATATGTTGTGACGTGTGTGGGTCAGACTGAGCCCAATGGTTGATGTCCAGAATCAGTCATGAGATGTTATGTATTGACTAGACTAAACTGGAGGATTGGTGCCCAGAATCAGTCAAGTACTATTATTTATTTACCTGAATGAGTCATGAGGATAGGTGGTCAAGAATCCAACATATGTGAATGATTGTTGTTGTGTTTGAATGGTACCTGGGGTGGTACAGAGTATATTAGTGTACTAACTATGTCGGAGGATTCAGATGATGTCCCAAATTTCACCGATTGGTCGAGTCACGTAGACTACGAGATCAGGTGATGAGAAGTCGATGGAGGATGACTGGTAGCGTGCTCGGAGGAGTACTCCAGAATGAGTGATGAAGGGCGCCAGTAATCCCACTCTGTGTGGAGGGTAGTCAGAATGGTACTGCGAGTACCAACCACAATGTGTCCACAGATGATAGCCTCTGAGTTCGAGCATTGTTAGGATATACTTCCAGAAGGCGTCTTAGGGTATTGATGATTTATAATTGATTATAATATGTAATTATTACTTCTATATCTGTTTTATTATATCGAATGATTTAATACTTACCCCTATTTTCCATGTAGATGAGACTATGATGATCATTTTTATGTGGGAGCAGATCAGGAGTTGAGAGGTGGAGATACGACTATTGGACACAGAGATAGTTCAGTGGAATAATTTTGTGGAAGCTACTTTTGCATGTATTTATATAAATAAATTATGTTACTGTGTTTTGAGGTTCATCGATGAATCAGGATTTCAATTTATATTATAATTACAATAATATAATGTAATATAGATATTGTTATTTACTTATTTATTATTTTGCGAAAGCATAATTATAGTAATGATTTATAGGGTGGTTACAATTTATATTTTAAAAGTTAAATATTTTTAAGAGTTTTTTCTATTGCTACAATCTTTATATTTTTTTAGTATTACAGATTTGTATTATCAAATTAATTTGAAACTTAAAATGATATTAATAATTTTAAAAAAATATTATAAAAAAAAATATCTAATAATTTTTAAAATTATTATATAAATAAAATTTTAAAATCTGTATCTATATTACATTCTTTCTTTTACTCTCTTTTCATTACAAGTTTTTCTAAATCTTTTATCTTTAATATAAAATAATTTAAAAGTATCATTTATTCTTTACACTACTAGAAATTTAGTTTTTTTCTGCCAATTTTCTTGTAAAAAATTGTTTAAATTTATAGAAAATTTATTTCTTGCAATTTGCAAAAATATTCCCATAAAAAATGAGAATTTTTAGTAGTGTTAATTCCTTAATTTTATATATATATATATATATATATATATATATATATATATTTTTAATTTCTCTCTCACATATTTTCTTTAGTTTCTTTCTTGTACAACAACATATCTCAAATTAACAATAAAAGTATTGATAATGATAATTATAATATAAAAATAATAATTGTAATAAGTAATAAATATAATAATAATAATAATAATAATAATAATAATAATAATAATAATACTTAATGAAAAATTTTACTTAATGATTTTTTTAAAATTTTTAATGTTGTTTTTTGAGTTAATAATAATAATTACTCAATGAATTTTTTTAGTTGTTAATGTTATTATCATTGTAAAATTTATTATTAATAAAAAATAATTATGATAATTTTAATAATAAATAATAAAATTATTAATACTTATTATTATTATACTCATTAGTTATTATAATTATTACTATTATTATTATGTAAGATTATTATTATAAATAATAATAATAATCATAATAAATAATAAATATTTATTTATTTATTAGTATTTTATTATTATTAATTATTTAATTTATTTATAATTAATTTAATAATAATAATAATAATAATAATAATAATATGAAAAATTATTAAAAATGTAAAAAAAAAAAAAAAACTACTAAAGTTTTGCTTTCTAATACAATTTCAGTATCTATATGTACTTGGAAGTAGACTCTGTCAAATCTTACTTCCTGTCACAAATTACCCATTTAGATAATTCATTTTTTAAATTATCCCAATCAATAATTTAAAAGAAATCACCTTTTTTATTTTTTTCATCAATCAGTGTGGAACTGGCATTTAAAGCTTTAACTACTAACTCATGTGATGATGCAGTTTATTCATCATTGTCTCACTACCCACGTTCATTCTTATTATTTTGAAGTCAAATCTATTTTAGAATTTATCTCAATTTAATAGTTCTCTAACAGTTACCACCTAAAGCATGAGTCCCATAACTGAGAATTATTACAGGTAAAAATAGAAAATTAACATTTGAAATCTTATTAATTTTATTATTCATAATAATTACATATAATAAAAATTATTTAAATATATATTCTAAAATATACTCTAAACTAAAAAAATGTATAAAAATTATATAAATATAAAAATAAATATGAAAATAAAATTTAATATATATATATATATAGAGAGAGAGAGAATAAAAATGGTATATAACCACAGATATAATTCTCAATAAATAAGAACTAAATGTATTATAATCTATGGAATATTATAGTAGTTGAAATAGCAGTTTCTCCGTTTAATTAACAATAATATAAAGTTTGAATATTGACAATCCATCAAAATGAAAATTATATATTTGTTTTAAATTATAAAGGGTGTATTTTTATGTTTTTCTTATGATGATAGAACATGACTTGTTATATATTTTATTCCTAAATTTTGCAATTTAGTTCATAATCAAAATTTTGTGTTTATTTTCTTTCTTTATTAATTTTTCTACTATATGTAACTAAACCACTTATAGTTTGGGACGACAGGTATTTGTCACGTCTCTGAGAAGTCTAATAGTAGATGTGTTTACCTTATTTTTTATAAGTTTTATTTTTAATCACTAATCAACTAGTTTAATGTCATAAACTAATATAAACAATAAAGGATTATAAATACAGTTTTAAAAATTTAAATATGGTTACTCTGTATGAATCTTATATAACATAACAAGTTATTGGATCATCAATGTTTTGTTTACATCTTCAACTAAAGTTGTTACTTGATGAAAAATAATAATAAATGTAAATAAAAAATTAAGAAAATAAGATAAGGTAAAAAAGTATGGAATTTAAAATTAAGGTAAAGAGTAATAACTCATAATACCCTCATTTAGAAGAAGAGACCTTTCAAAGAATAAATTAAAACCCTCATTCAAAAGTTATTATATCTTATTCAAAACCCTAATCTATATCTAATTACTTTAGTGAACAGTTAATCCTAATACATACACTTATCAAAATAAAAGAAGTTAACAACTCATAAAGTCAAGAATTCAACTATTTGTAAAGTCTTTTCAATGCCACAAGGAATTAAGCATACTTTTCAAGTCACCATCAAGATTTTTTTTTTTTTTTAACTATAAAGATTTTAAATATGATGTAGTTATTATTCAAATAAATATACTGTTTTAATTATATACGTAAATGATTAAAAATATATTAAATATTTTATATTTTCAGAAAAAAGTTCATTAAATTCAAAGTTATGCAGTAACACGTTATCATTATTATATTACCTTAGTTTAACTTTTATATGATCAAAATTAGATTATTGGTGAACATTACATTAATCTATTTTATTTTATGGAATATTATTTAGTAAAAGTTAAAATTATTATCATATTTATTATCTATTCATATAATATCTAGATATCAAACTAATTTTAATACGAAGAACTTATTTAAAAGGTTTCAAAAATAAATTATATTAGATGAAAAAACATGTCATCTAAATTGAATAGAAGTTATTTTTAGTTAAATTTATTAGATTATAATCTATATAAATTTAGATCATATTAACGTTAGATTTATAAATCAACTTATTTTATAAATAATAATTAATTTTTAAATAAGAATAAAAGTAATAATATTTTATTAATATATATATATATATATATATATTATAAATTAATTTGATAAAAGATTCAATTATTCTAAAAATAGTTTAATAACTCAACTCGTCAATTTTAGTAAAAATAAAACAACAACTCATCAATAGTAATTTTTATTTGTTTATTAATATGAACATCAAATTATTATTTTCTTATAGTGAAGTTTCCACTTACTAATGTGATATTGTGAGAGAATATCTCATGAATGTTTATTATTAAAATAAGTGAAAACATGTCTTATTGTGGCCATCTAGTACATTATCCGAAATATAGTTTCCACAATGTCATCAAAGTAATGGTAAAATTATGAGGAAATTGTGTATACTAAAAACAGATACTAAAACTGCTATTATATATATATATATATATATATATATATATATATATATATATATATATATATATATATATATATATATATATATATATATATATATATATATATATATATATAAAGAGAAAGAGAGAGAGATAAATGTATTGTAGATCTTGCATGTAATAACATGTATATTGCAAAAAAGTTGTATCTTGATTCTGCTACTGCAGAGGATGAAACTACAGGTAAGAGCTTTAGTGAATGGCCAAATGCATGCTCTCAGTACTGCACACTCATCCTTTGACCTTCTTGTTGGTTCTGCATCATGTTCAAAAGATTTTTAACAAAATATCTACTAAGACAATTTGGAGAGTTCTTTATATCCACTCCATATAAATGATAACATCTCAAAATTCATTAAAAATTCTGCAATACATACTTAACTGAGGTTATTTATTATTAGAAAAAGCAACATCCATATGTCTTCAGTTAAATGGAGGGTTTTTTTTTTCCCATAGGCTATAAAACACTTTTGCCTCTCAATATCTTTATTCCCAGTTTAGTCCATTAATTTTGAAAATATTAGCTTTGGTCTCTTAAATGCTTTTGTTAAATCAAAGCAGCTCTTCTGTCCCCATATTGTACTAATTTGATAAACTATTTGTTATGTTAGTTAAACATATCATCATTAATATCTAAAAATGTGAAATGACTAATGAAGTCTAGTATAGATATTCAAGAAATCAAAATGCAAACTTTTAAATTTGAAAGAGTAAACTAAAAAAATAAGATAAAAGACATGATTGTTACCTGCATCTGAGAACAGATCTCAATGACTTCAGCTAGGGGTGCCCAATCACCAAAGTTTCTCTCTATGAACTGGTAAGCTATGCCACTCTTTGCCATCCCTACTACAAAGAGTCCACCTTTTATTTCACCTTCTCCTTTGAAATTGTACTCTATGTGCATTGCTTTTGAACGCTTGTAGTTGGAAAGTGCTCGAGGATTCAGCAAAAATCCTGAAAGGAACTTCTCCTTGTTCAGTTTTCCCCCTCCAAGAGCCTTAAAGAAGTCCCTACCTCGATCAAGAACCACAACACCACCCCAGTATCGAGGCCAGAAATCTTTTACCTGCTTTATCATAAATATGACTGACTAGTCAAGCCATGATTAATGCTTGAATGAATCAAACAATATACATGGCTGAATTTGCTAATACCTCTGACTCTATGTGCTCATGAAGAACAGCAAATAGTTGAACCCCAAGTGCATCAAATATTGCTTTCCTGGAATAGAGTTGGTGTGCCTCAGCTCTACACATGATGCACCTGATTTCAAGTATGAACATGGCAGCAATAGTCACTTTAATGGAAAGATATAAAAAGTGGTAAGAAAAAGTCCTTCATATTTTAACAGAGAAATACTAACAACATACTTTATAATATTCTTTTGGTTAAACTATTTACTTGGCCTATGTATTCATTCCATTTTATGTTTTAGTTCATATGGAGAAAATTAAGTTTTAATTCTTATACAGTTTTTGTGGCAGTTTATCACCATCAAAAAAATTTCTTTGATATTTACTAGTAAAAGCAAAACTCAAGAATTTTTGGTGAATCACCAAAACTTGACTTTTATGCATAAGGACTAGAACTTTTTTTCACTTTGGGACTTAAACATGACATAGTTATAAGAACTAAGTAAATAATTTAACTTACTGTTTTTCTTGGACACTTTCTTCTGTTGGATGAAGTTCATCTGGATTCCACTAAATATGTGTAGTCTCACTTCACTAGATAGGTAGGTTCTTAGTGCTAAAACTAGTGAGACCATGTAAATTTCAACCAAGAACTTGTCAGGAAAACGATGTTTAATGTGTCATTAAAACTAATGTTTAAACATTCAGAAGCTTGTGTTTCTTAGGCTTCAAATGTTACATTTTGTTTTGTTTCTCTTAGTGTGTTTTATCTTCTTGTGTCTTGTTTCTTCTACATAATGGGTTTATTTATGAATAAAAGAATCATATGAAAGGTGGGCCTGTGTGAATTCAAACAAATTTGTTTTAGCATGCAAATTTCTCAAAATAGCATGATTGAAGTAAATGCATCCTTTGAAAATTAAAATCCATGCTTAACAGACAAATTCCAAAAGTCTAACAACATAAGAATTTACCCTGGTCTTCGGAGACACAGGAAAACAGCTGGTTTTTCTCGCCATAGTTCTGAAGCCTTCAATGGAGGTGCCTTGGTTTTCACCAATGGGTCCATGCCAATTTTATACTCAGGAGTCAGTTTCTGAACTGAAATATTTTCAATAGCACCATAAGGAGCAACTTGGTCACTGATAGGAGGTGGATTCACACAGCCACATGCTCTAGGCTCAGCTGGTTCAGCCGCTACAATACCCTTAAAGACATATCCTTCTTTAATCTTCATTTCAGCCATTGATCGTTCAAGTGCATCAGAAGCAGCATTACTTCTTATGTGTGATCTTGTCAAGCTGTTAGAGCTATTAGATCCAAAACTTTTGGGAATGCTATCGTCTCTATGCATCATCGTGCTGCTTTTTCTTCTAGCAGCAAGTGCATGCAATTTAAAAGAATCTTCACTTATTCTTCTGTTTACAAAACGTGCAATGTGGCCTCTCTTCATTTCGAACTGAGTAGAAAGATCTGTGGTGCTTAAATTGATAAGCTCTGCCAGATTTTTTCCACAGTCCTCCATCTTATCTGCATATTGCATCAAGCTACGATCATGCAGGTAGGACCTGATTCCAAGTGCGTCCTACAACATTAAAAGAAGTAAAATGCACAACACTTAAGAAGCATATAGTTTAAGTAAGGATTAGATATGTTTCTAATACCAGTATTTATGACTAAATTTGATTTTAATCTTTCAAAAGTTATAGTGAATTTTGTTCATCATAGATTTGAACTTTTTATAAATAATTTTTCATAAGAGTTGAGGAGTTGAAGGCGAGTCCAGATCCAACAGTAAACTTTGGTCCTAGAATTCGGAATAGTCTATTTACATGTGAAAGGATAAGTGACCCTTCATCATACCTTTTACGTATACTGTTTCTAGTTTATCATCACTTAATAATTACGTGTAAACATCTCAACAACTGCTCTGAAAAATATGTGAGTAATATTACAAACTAAGGTGTACGTTTAGAATTCAAATCCCAATTATCTAACTTTAAATATAGAATAAATCATGATAGGAGAAAAATTCACTTTACATGTGTTAGGTTTCTATCAGTATTAGTCATTATCTCTGATTATGAACAATTCGCACCAATAACACAGTAAAAGAAATTAATAGAAACTACTTAAACAAAATTATCAAAACACTCTTTTGTAAACTAAAGTCAAACTTCAAGACTGTAATCAGGTGAATTATAGAAATTTCACTCTGAAGGGAATTATTATTGAATGATAAGATATTATGATGGAAGACTTTAATAAAAACTGTTGATACGAAGACTCACCTTTTGCTGTTGTGTCATGTGTAGCAAATCCATTTCCTCTGAACTCATAATCTTCAGAGTTGGAACATCATCCCATCCTTCTTCCAACAACTTTTGAAGCAGCCCCTTTAAAATTCCATTTCCTATGAATTCTTCCACTGAAAAAGAAGCCATTCTTTCCTTTCTACTGGATAAGTGATAATCTTGTCATATGAATGTGATTAAATTTGCAGACAAAGTTGTTTCTCAGACAAAAGTATTAAACACTATGTATATAAGCCGTTCATAGAATATATAATTAAAATGTCTTTGGTTAATGATGTGACAATGAGTTCAATGTTTTCCTGAGGCTAAATAATCCATTTACCCTGCTGTACTATCAACTTATCTAAAGAAAATTATATTCATATAACAAACATATATATGCAAAAAAATGGAGACAATTGTACAAAAGTAAAAACTAAATTATTACTATAATATATCAGTTAAGGACAGTGGAAGATACCCCAAAATAAAAAAATTGGGAGAGCAATACAAGGTTTGAAAAATCAGAGAGAAGTTCCGGGATGTGAACAAACATTTGACTTAGCAGGCCAAATTTGGAGGTGCATTTGGCAACTTTACTGACTTTGATACCTCAAAATTGTTTTTAATTGCCGGCCGAAACCTGCTCTAATAGAAATTGTCAATAGCTCAGGTGTTGCCTCTAACCATGGATTAATATCGTTTAGCTAACTTTACCCATTGACATGGTATAAATAATGATGTTATTATAAGTTTTAAAGTTAAAATTTTTACCGTCATCAACTGTAGGATGCTACACAGATATCATGGAAATTTATTTATTTTTTGTTTCATTTGATACCAAGTTTAAAGTTTTGATATGGGTATTAAAAAAATGTAATTAATATCTAAATTTTATAGAAAATGTCATAATTTTCTATATGTTATTTAATTACTTATTTATTCTTAATGTGTAAAGTATTGATTGAAGATAATCTTAAAAACAATATTTAATGTGCTTCAAAAGAAAAAATTTAATACATTGATTTGTAAAATGGTAAGTTAGAATAGTTTTACTTTCTAAAATGTCAAATAAAGTGGAACAAAGGGAGTAATTTATTTGAAAATAGAAGGTTAAATTTTGGTTTATAATATTTTTAAACAATTTACGTGACATATCGCACAAAATAATTTCAAATAATTCTCCAATAATGATAAGCATCTCTCGTTATAAATGCTTTAATCTCCTTAATACCCTTACCACACTTGTCAACAATAAAACTTACCTTACTTAATTACAATAATAATGCAGAGAGTTTCATTTACAAACACTTCAAATTAATAAGAAATATTTACTGATTTTATTGATCTTTAATCTCTCAATTAATCTGATTCATATAGTTTATACTAAAATCTTCTCTCTGAACTTTATTTTTATCATTCAAAAATTTCAATTAGAAATCTTTCTTAAAAGAATCAAGTATCACTTAAGTCAAATTAGAAATTATTACAAATATTTTTTAAATATAATTATTATAAAAATCAACTATCCTATCTTGTATTTTAATTTATAAATAAATAACAAGAAAAAAAAAGGTAACACTATTTGCTTTCAAATTAAATTCCAAAAATAAAGGAACAGAATTGAAAAGTATAGTCTAAATATAATTTTAAAATAACAACATTTTCTTACAATTATGTTTTGATTAAATTTTATAAGATAGTTTTTTTTTTGTTAAGTATGGATTTTGTATCCTTGACATAATTATTACAAAAATTATTAACTATGAGTTATATAATATTCCGTAATTGAATGATAATGTAAATATTATAGATTGCCACGATACTCCAATTAAATTCCATTCCAGAAGCCTAATTTTCACTTGTTAATTTACTGCAACATTCCGAAATCATAATTGTATGCATATGAATATGGCTATATTTGAGTCTATACAAAATTTCCATATCAATTAAGCATCGTATTGTCAAGTTAAACTAAACTACATCCGTGACCGGAAATAGGGAACAAGAATCAAGGATCATGTCATTTCAGCTTTCATATTCCCTCTCAACCACGTGAAAGATCTTACACCTAATAAGCATGATACAATGCCACGAGACCATGAACCATAAAAATTCATCCACCTACAAAACTAGATCTTAATTTCATTCAGAAATGACCAATATGATTTGCTGCTCCTTAAGGACATTAATTCACAGTTCCACATTGATATTTCAAATTTTTTTCAACACCATGAAATCTTTGATAAAAAACTAGTCTCTCCCTTTCCTTTCTAATCTTTGAATGCATAACGTCCTATAATGCCAAAATTTTATCTTATTCTGAGGCACAGTATGCCTAATCAGTTGTCCAGGGATCACTCTCTGCAATGACTTCAGAGGCTTCATAAACTTCAGGCTCTGAACTTTCTTCACCTGTGCTTGGCTCAGCTTCAACAGATGTTTCTCCCTCCTCTTCTTCTGATCTACCCCATCTTCCTCCCACGGCCAAGGCCATCATTTCATAAATCTTATTACCCAACTCAGCTGGGCTCTCAGGCTGCAATATTGAGAAACTATGTTAAGCAAAACTACAGATAACCAACAAAAGCCTTATCTTATCTCAATCACACATCATCATACTGTTCCGTTATAGACCAAATCTAATCTTTAAATGTAACATGAAAAATTAAAATTAATATGCACTTACAGAAAATCCACTCGAAATTAGAGCTGTGTCGTATAAGAGGTCGACCGCTCTCTTAGCTTCACTGCTGTCAGGTGCATTCTTGCAGGCAGCCTGAAAGTTAGATAAAAATAATTACAACAGTTACTTCATAGTCAAACAACTTGTCTTCAGATTATGGTCATGTACCGTAAGTTTCTGCATTCAACAGTTATGTAATTTTAAACTCGAGGCAGTTCAAGGGTAAAGGTGAATAGAAAGTAGAATGCTTTGAGTGCAAACTATCAGAAAAATTAATATAGTAACAACGATTTACGAATCAATAAACTCCAAACTGAATATCAACTCACACTCAAGTCTTTGATAATGGGGTGATCTGTATTAATCTCCAATATTCTCCTCCCCCTCATAAACTCCAAACTTGAAGTGTCCCCAAGAGCTTGTGCCTTCATTAGTCTGAAGAAATGAGAAGTGAATATTGTTTAAGCCTTTAGTCATGAGAATGATCAACAGCTTGTGATCCAAGAGAATGGCTTGCAAAGCCGGCAATGACTAACCTCTCCATGTTTGCAGACCAACCAAACTTCCCTGATACAAGCACACAGGGAGATGAACTCAAGCGCTTTGAAATTTGAACTTTGGCCACCTTATCACCAAGCTGTTGTTTTATCCAATCACAGAGTAGGTTGTATTCTTGTTTGTTTTCCCTCTCTTTGACCTCATCCTCGTCACCTAATTTAATAAAATGTTTCGAGAACCGTATTCAAATCCCAATTTTACCGAAACAAAATAGTATTTGAGCAATCAAAAGCAATATAGGAAACAATACAAACCTAATTCCAAATCCTCCTTGCTGATATCAACAAATTTTTTTTCTTTATATGTCTGTAGGTTCTGAATGGCAACTTCATCAATAGGGTCAACCAAATATAAAACCTACAATGATAGACACACAAGTAAATAGTTAAAACTGAAAAGAGAAAACAGAATTCAAAGTTAAGATCAATTACATCAAGCATTTCAATCATATCCATAAATAGCTTATTCAACTTTATCACACAAAAAGCCTAACCCTTCACAAGATAGCAGGGTACTGCAGAGGGAGGCTAGAGACAACCCCCCCCCCCAAATAAACTTGGCTCTCACTGACCAAGTTCCCTGACTACAAGCTCAAATTAACAAGTAGACATACCTCAATATCTTTTTGAATCAGTTTCTCCACGAATGGAGCAGTCTTTGCACTCTTCAAGCTGTCAGTTGCCAGGTAAAAGATAGCCTTTTGGTTTTCACCCATGTTTTCAACATAATCATCCAAGCTTTTAAGTTCCTCCTCACTCTTGGAAGTGTAGAACCTTAATAATGGTGTTATGCGCTTATGATTTCCAGTGTCTTCAACGCAACCTAATTTTATGAACCTACCAAAGTTCTCCCAGAATTTCTTGTAGTCCTGAAACAGGGAACCATCCATTCAGTCTATGGACTCTAAACTCATTGAAATTATAAAGAAGCTAAGTTAGTTGCTAGCAACCTCTTTATTTTCACTCTCAGCAAGGTCTTGAATCATATCAAATGCCTTCCTGACAAGTCTCTTTCTCATTATTCTTACCTGTAATTATACTGTTGTTAGATTCAAAATTTTCCAAAAGCAACACAATAAGAAAGATTCAAAAATAATTACTATCAGAATATCCTTCATTCGTGTCTATCATATAAAATAAGTTGTCTATGTTAGAAGGAAAATCTGTAGTCCTCTTACAATTCTGCTTTCTTGAAGGATCTCTCGAGAAACATTAAGAGGAAGGTCATCTGAGTCAACCACACCCTTCACAAAGCTCAGGTAACGTGGAAACTACAAAATAACAAGATAAGTAAAACAAAATTACAGCAAATGGAAACTGAACACAGCAGAAGAAACATAGAAGAACATGAGCACTATTGTATGTAAAATGTTAGTTGTACTCTTGAATGTACCTTGCCCTTCTTTTTTTAGGTAACTGAGAACATTCAGTAAAATAAAGAGCAAGAAACACAGAAAACCATACATGTGACACATGTAAGGGCTTGTATAATGACCTGGGATATGACATGAAATAATTCAAGACTAAAACAGTTATGTACAAATTAGATGAACCCTTACTCTAGAAAAACTAGCCATGTGCAAGAGACCTAAATTCCCATACAATGGTTATGCCATTCATCTACCCAACAACGGTAAGTTATACACTGGAATAGAGACTTAACATTTTTCCCTCTTTCATAATCCATAATAATAATAATAATATAATGAGAAGCAGTGTCATAAATTTCAAAAAACCCAGGACAAATCAAACTCTGAAGCTTATAGGAACGGTAGTAAACTTACCAGCTCCCCATCAAAATCATCCGAAATGAATACACGCTTAACATACAACCGTATGTTCTTTGTTTTAGGGTTCACAACTTCTTCATTGTTAAGAGGTCCCATTCCAGGAACATATAAAATACTTCTGAACTCAACCTCGCCCTGCAGAGTTTATAAGCCTAGTTAAATTGACAACTACCTAAAGGAAATGCTCTTCTTATGAGACAAAAAATCATCAACATACCTCAGTAGTGAAGTGAGTATGTGCAAGTGGTTCTAAGAATTCACTGAAAGTCTTCTTGTAAAATTCATTGTACTCCTCCTTTTCAACTTCTTTTGGGTTCCGCATCTACAAAAAGTAAAAAAAGGCAAAATTGGACCAATAAGAATAATAAGCAAAATCCAGCTCATAAATTTCCTAGCACCGCAAAGTAAATATATATCTAACTCACCCATATTGGCTTCGTTTCATTGGTTAATTCCCAGTCCCAATACTTCTCAGTTTTAGTCTTTTTCACCTTCTTTTTCTCACCCTGACAACACAAGCAGAAACAGACACACTTGGTATTGGTAATGAGTTTGAATAACAAGTATAATACCAACATTTAGAAATACTAAATCAGTTACCTCTTCCTTTGGTTCTTCCCCTTCTTTGGGTTCTTCCTCCTCTTCCACCTGCCAATATTCAAATTAGTTAATTAATTACTCAATTAATAGCAAAAACCTACAGCTGATTTATTTGCCACTCCATAACTAACATTTCTATAAACTCAAAGTAATTATGAAATAGAGAATGAGGACTCAAAAAGTGAATTAATATAATCTAGAAGGCCTGTTTACCTCCACAGTTTTTGACTTTTCTTGCCACGTGTAGATGGGGAAGGAAACAAACTGTGAGTAATTCCTCACCAAACCCTGAATCCTCGTTGACTCCGAGAATTCATACTTGTCATCTTCCTGGCCAGTCAAGAAGAATATGAGTGCTTTAACTACATATAACTTGTGCATTAAAAAATAATGTTCCAAAGATTATACTGGATTCATCCTTTTACTGAAAGAGAACAAATAAATCACCAAAGAAGATTTTCAGCTGAATTTAAAATATTATACTTATTTAATTCATACCAGTTATATGGCTAGCCAAGAAGCACGAATTATTTGGGAGCTTCAACCACATGTCCTTAATAAATTGGTTTTACAGTTTCTAAATACTATTATTATCCAGAGTTCAACCTTTTATCAAAAGATACTTATTAGTTCTTACATTCAATGTAACCTTTCAAACAGGAAAAAAAATAAATGAAAGTCACTCACTCTTAAATAGAGTGTGATCTGTGTACCACGACGCAAAAGCTTTTCAGGATCAGTTTCTTCCTTTATTACATAAGAGCTACTGTCAGCTTCGGCTTCCCAAACATACTGCTTATCTGATCTTGGGCTTTTAGTAGAAACAACAACCTGATTGCCATGCAGAAATACCCAATTAATGGAATAAATTCAAAACAGTTAAATCAGATAAATCAACCAGCAGGATGTGCTAAAGAAATCCACTCCACACCCTCTCAGCAACAAGAAAAGCAGAGTAGAATCCAACACCAAATTGACCAATCAAACCATTATCTGCTCCTAGATCCTTGTTTTCCTGTAACATTGAGGGGGTTAAGTTAAAACATAATTATTGAAGCATTAAATCGTCAGGTATCAAAGAAATCAGCGCTTCAGATACATGACAAATTACCTTAAGTGCCTTCAAAAATTTTGAGGTACCACTCTGAGCAATAGTTCCAAGGCAATCAATGAGCTCTTCTTTGGTCATTCCAATACCAGTATCTCTACAGGGTCAAGAGATAACCGTTAATATTCCTAATCACATATACCCAGAAAAGTAAAAACAAAAAAGCAAAAAATCAAAAAACAAATACATACGTTATAGTTATAGTTCCATTGTCTGGATCAGACTTGATACGTATCTCAAGATCTCCAGCATCTCCAAGCAAAGAAGGCTCAGTCACGCTTAAGAATCTCAACTTGTCCAAAGCGTCACTAGCATTACTGGAAGAACAACAGAACAAAATTCGATCAAATACGTCAGAATCAAGCAAGCACGTATAACCAGTGCATAGGTGCAAAAGTCCAAAAGTGAAAAAACATGGTGTCTACTAAAGCAACCTCTTTCTGTATGTACTACTCGTAGATTAAAGTACAGATCATGCAACCATAGTAACATTTGTCAAATTACCTGACAAGCTCTCGAAGGAAAACTTCTTTGTGGCTGTATAGACTGTGAACAATCAAATCCAACAATCGACTCACCTGCAAAAAGAAAATTGGAATTCACATCCTTAAGCGATAAATGGAAATCTCCCTTCTATGAAGTTTTTTCCATCCAAAAACAAACCAATATCCCAAACGAAATGCAAAAAGAAATTGCTATGGAATTCATTTCATTCGGAAAAACCCATGCACACACACCCTTTTATGCGGTAAGTTTTTCACTATCGAAATTCCAAACAAAATTCAAGATATTTGTCCAAACATACATATATGACATGGAATTCATTAAATCAGTAAATCTCTTTTACAAACACAAACACACCATTCTTGAGTTGGTCTTTCACCTCTGGTCAATTGTCGAAATTCCAAACCAATACAGAAATAAATTGACATTGAATTAATTTCCTTAGTAAATCTGTCTCTCTCACACGCACACACTTGCCGAAGTCAGCGTATTCACTTGTAATTACAAGCTACGCCAAATAGCAAAAAGGATGAACCTTTGCCCAACTCACGACGACCCAAAACTACAAAAAGGTTAACAATTCGACAAATTCATGGAAAACCCACCTCAGCCTGGTATTCAAACTTCTCCCCGGTGGCCTCCTCCTTCTCCGCCACGGCGGCCTCGCACCGAACAGCGAGCTTCCTCTGGCGCCTCTGCGCCCACCTCAGCCCCGCAGCGGAGGAGAAGCTCCTTCGGCAACCGAGCTGCGGCGGCAGAAAAGCGGTTCTAAGAGGGGAAGCCCTCGTAAAGGAGGAAGAAGGAGGGAGCGAGGCGAGAGAGGCCGTGGCCAATGTTCTGCTGAGTACAGGAGCCATACTTCGCACACAAGAGAGTGGGTGAGAGAGTGTGTTGTGTATGCTTTCGTGATATGTTTATCTATTACTGTGACTTGGTGTGAGTGAGAGTGACGAAAAACCCTTGCAAGGAAATGAAGAAAGGGTTTAGGGAAGATATAGTGCAAAGATTGTTCTAGAATTAGAGGAAGGGATTTGGCAGTATTAGTCTCTGAATTGTAAGGTCTAGATTCTGCCACGACATGCCATATCCAATTTTTATTTAATTTTAATAAGTAAACTGCACATTTTTATGATTTAATTTTGTAATATTTAAAGATAAATTGTCCTTGCAATTTGGTGCAAGGGAAACTCACATGACTTTACAAGGGAATTTAATTTTATTTACACTTTTTTTTAACGGAAGATAATTAGTTATATTAATTTTATGGCTTAAAATAATTGTTTTCACCATAAAATTTTGGATTTTACCTTTCGTTTTCAAAAATAACTCTTCGTTTTGATTCTAAAAAAATAATATTTTTGTTTTGAGTTTCTGTTTCTAGTATTTATTAAGTAATAAGTTATTTGGTAAATGATCGCCTGTGATTATTTATCATTAGTAATTTCATTTTGTTTATCTGATTGCAGAATTTTCTTTTTATTCTAAAAAAATGTATTTTTATTTCCGTGTATATTATCTTTCACATCCTATAATAATGATTCTTTAACTTTATTCTATTACATAAATAATGACGGATTACTACAAAACACCAACCAAATATAATAAAGAATTGTGATAAAAAAATAAATAGAAAAATAATTATAATACTCATTAATATTAATATTTCAAATTAGGACTGATCATGAAATTAATACAGACTGATTAAGAGTCCAAATATTTAATTAGAATTGAACTAAGATCGATACATATTTAATAAAATAATAATACTTTAACAATATGGAAGTATATTCAACACAAAATAAATCTATAAGTATTTAAAAAAAATACGATTGATTATATAAAAACTTTTAAATAGTGATCTAATTTTTAAATTGAATCATTATGATTAAGAATATTTTTATCATATTCAAATGTATTACTTTTTTATTATTTGAATCATCATGGTCATGATCAGTTTTAAGTTGAAACTTCATATATTTAATATTTTCATATACAGTTATAAACAACTAAAAAAAATATTTAAATAAAATAAACAGATTTAATTTAACAAAATTATAACAAAACATATAAAACATTTACCTTTCATTATCTTGTAGTGATTTAAGAATTGAAATTTTATTTAACAATATAAAACATTTTTAAATCAATTTATATTAAGTTCATTAAAAACTTTTTTATTGCTAGCCAAAAAAATTTATTCGATCAACGTATTCATTGTTAATAGGATCATACAATAGTGATATCTAAAAGTAAAATAAACATTATAATAATAATAATAAATCATTGTTTATTATACTTATAAATATAATTTTCTTTATCCAATGGAAGTGTAAGTAATATTAACTAAATCATTTAATATTTATATTAATTAAATCATTCGCTAAAATCATAAAATGGATGCATTAGACATAATGACCACCGCTTATTTTGAAAAATTATATTTACTTAATTATATAATTAAAGAAAATTTGTATTTTTATCTAATATCAATTTCATAAATTTATTGTTCAACTTACTTATTCAAATTTGTCCTCTAATTTTTTTAAATATATATTTTTAGGTTAAATTTAACATTTTGTTGTAATTTTACTTTAACAAAATTAATAAAATGACTAAATTTGAATTCATTATTTTTTATATATATTTAATAAGATTTTAAATATTATATAATTGTTTAATTAACTAAATTTATGTTTTTAAGTTTAATAACTAGTTTGTTAATTTTTAAAATATATGGACTAAAATTATTTTTAATCTTATAATTATATAAGAATAAGAAATATAAATTGTTTTGATAAATATTAAGTTATTACTTTAGGTACATCTTTATTCAAAATCAGCCAATTTTATGTCAATCTCTATCTAAAATTGAACATAAAAATAAATGTCAAATTTACTTTTCTTGTAAAACTGAGAATAACTTTCGGTAAAATGACTTTAAAATTAATTCAATTAAAATAAAAGAATAACAGCATAATAGTATAATTTTTATTTTCTAATTATTTTAAAGTCATATGAATTATCTATTTTATTAGAAAACATGTTAAATCTGAATTGTTAAGTTTATTTATGTAAAAAATCACATTAACGAAATCATATAAAATAACCAATATCTTTACTAAAATTCTTTCATAGTATAAATTTGAAATTTTTATCGAGTAAATTATCTCTCAAAAACATATTTGTTCTAAGTGGAGAGGGGTTTTTATCATATATCTTACTTAATTATTTTTGTTAGTGTTTTTGGTTGTATATTTTATTTCTTCTTTTATTTCGAGTTTTTTAAACACTTATATTCTCTCTCTTTTTTTGTCATTTTCAAATAAGTTTTGTTTATCGTAGGGTATGTTCTCTATATTTCTTCTTTCCTTTTTTTTTCTTTGTTTTGATATCTCTTATATAACTTTGATATGGTATCCGTTTGTCTAAATACCGTCCATATTTTTTTATTTTTTTCAGGGTTCTTTCTCTTTTGTTCACCATTACTTTTGTTGCTTTCTCGTTGGATATATATGATCCTATATTCATTCATCAAGGTGATCATTCCAATTAAAGATTTGTTTTTACCCTCTAATTAGTCTTTCCACTAATGGCATATAGTCATAATTTGAGCAATTATCACCTCGCCCCGAGTCCAAACAGCCATAAGGACATACAACTTGCAACAGATCCTAATCGAAAGAGGGTGAAAAATCTTCACTCATCTTTACACTATTTGTTGACATCTTTATATATCATAACGAATTCACTCCTTAGAAACTTCTTGATACATTATCTACTTAATCCATAAAATCATCACTTTGCATCAACAAGGAGTCATTTATCAAAGATATGGGAAAATGAGGATGGAGGAACAATACTTAGAGATAAAGAAGGCTCGAGATTGGTCAGCCTTTTATGACGAGGGATAAGCCCTTCCCCAGACTCTTTGGACATGTTGATAATGATAGGAACCTCAAGGGTAGGGGTAAATACAATAAGAGTTACTCTTGTCTTATTGGTCTCACTATCAGCCTAATTATTTCTCCATCAACAGTAGTGATTTTAAGATTGACAACCACATCTAGAGGGACAAACACCCAACTTAGCACGAATATTCTTATAATAAAAGGAACTCTCCATTACCTCCATGAGACAATACAAAGCAAATGAAATACAAACATAAAATACGTAGTCACAAAACTTACACACTAAACAATCCTTACCACTATATCGAGCTACTTGGTCCTAAAAATAAGAGATGAATAACAAATGGTCAACTCGAAACTTAAACTTCACAAGCAAATCTATTAGATTAACTATAATCAACTTGTTCTTGACGAACAATAAATGGTTACATTAAAACTTAAACTTCACAAGGATAGTCCATTGAAAAATACAGATTCAAATGATGAATATAAAGATTTGGACAAATCACTAGGATTACACTTAACTTGAAAAAAATTAGTCTTAAAATTCTTAAATGATTGAGTGTACATAGAAAATAACCATGTGTGATAATATCCATTTAAGGAAATCTAACCAACTTCTAAATCATACTTTAATTGGTAGAAATACATACAAATTTTGAAAAACTTTCAAATATGCTTAACTGTTAGGATGCAATTGACTTATGACCACTCAAATAATAGTTAACATCTTGTACTCAAAATCGATAAAATGTAGTAAAATCTCTAATTCCTTAAAGATATACTCATAAACAAAGATAAAATCCTTTCCATCAACATAAAACTTCATATAAACCCTATTAGTATGGGAAACTGGATCAACAACCATCACATGAAAATAGGCAGACTCACAGATATCAAAAGACTTACAAAAACCTTATATAGATGAAGCATAAGTGATTTTGGAAGCATAATGATGCACCTCATTAAGTCCCTAATAAAACTATGGATCAAGGATGGGAAAAACTTATCTTTACGCTTAACCTTGGATAAAACACCACTGTTTGACCCTCTATTTCCCACTTTTTTGCCTTGGTGACTCTTTTTGGATTCACTTTACACTTTTGGGACATTGGAGCAATCACCATAACAACAACAAAATCACCAATAACTCCTTCAAATAAAAATGACACATGTTTAAGCCTTTAGAATTGGTGAAGCTACCATCAATCGAATATACTTCACGAGAAGTGAGATAACATTAGCGCTGAGTAGAATTCACCAAAAAGAAAAGAAAACATTGTTTTAAATGAGGAGAAAAAACAACTCTTTATAATGTGGAAGAAAGTAAAGTTGGAAAAATTATTTTATTTTCAATATGACTTTAACACAAAGTGAGGATGAGATGAAAACGAATGTTTAAGTATAATCATAAGGGTAAAATGTTATTTTTTATACCTAACAAAAAGTAATGGTGGTTCAAATGATTACAAAATTTTCTCATATTTAATATCAAATAAAAAATATAAAATATACAATGACAAGCTTCAATATAACTTGTTTGTCTTCATTAAAATAATACACTTATAATATACTTGAATTTTAAACTTGAGAACTTACGTACTTATCTTACCCTGAAAATAGATATATAATATAAATAATCAATAGATTTAGACTAATATCTTAGTATCATCCGAAATATTTAGAACTACTAAGATATTGAATACATATTTAATATTAATGATATATATTCTCAATCTTAGATGATTATAGTTTTTATATTACCCTATAATTTTTTTTATCTATCTCTTTAATTATTAATGATTTTGAATTTTATCACTTTAACTTAATCGAAGAATCTTTTACAAAAATTTCGCCTCCCCTCATCATTTTTCAAACAGGAGGACAGGACAACAATATAAAAGTTCGGTTGTTCCACATAATTAGGGGTGTCAAGAAGGGTTCTAACCCGTGAGCCAACTCGACTCACCACAGGTTCGAGCTGGGTTGAATTCAAATTTTTTTATTTCTATCGATTATGGGCTAAAAATGAACCCGACTCACTTAACCCATATGTTAAACGAGTTCGAGTCGGGTTATGGTGGGTTGGTCCACAAAACATCATTAATTTTCAATTTTAAAAATAATTATAATAATATACTAATCCTAATTAATAATTTATTTTAAATTTTAAAAATAATTATAATACTTTAGTAACCCTAATTGATATTATCATGTCTCACATCTACCCTACATTGTCGCTATCGCCCCAAGCCAAACCCTTACTCAAAGTTGTTATCAGTTGTTCGTCGTATCACTACGTTTGTCACTGCACTTGAGTCACTTGTCTTATCATCTGTTCACCGCACCACCATGTCCACAGTATCGCTTTCAAAAGTAAGAATTTGTACCATAATCTAGATGATTGGATTAATGAATCTTTATTTGAAAACTGTAAGACTGTGTTAATATCTTACAATACAATTATATATATATATATATATATATATATATATTTATATAATTTAAAATATTAAAAAATATATGTTAATCGACCAACCCATTTTCGACTAAAAAATGAGCGAATCCATCACTTTGACACCTGGTACATACTTCATGTAACAATAGTAATTTTTAAATATACTAATTTATAATATTTGATGAAGGTCTATTTTTTAATATTACATCGTTATTTCAGTAAACGCCTACTATTTTTAAAGATTGGTAATAATATTTGGTAGGTTATTTTTAGGGATGACAATTAAACCCGTCCCCGATCCGAGTTTGACGGGGAAAACCCGAGTTGACCGGGGACGGGGCGGGGTTCGGGTTTTCCTCGCTTTAAAAAGTCGGGGCGGGGTGGGGATGTGTAATGCAATCCCCACCCCGACCTCGACCCCGTCCCCGCCCCGACTTTATATTTAAATTTAAATTTTAAAATATTAATATTTTAAAAGTATTTTCTTTTCTTTTTCTATTACATATAAGGTCATTTTTTTATATTTTACCAATTTTTATCTTTCTTCTACCTATTTTTTAATTTTTTTGTCTTTTTTTAATCTTTTATATCAATTAATTTATTATATTATTCTCTCTTATACCTTGTAGTTTTTCATATTTTCTTAATCTCTCTCATCAATTTGTTTTTTTTCAATCTTTTCAATCAATTTGATGAACACGGTTAATTTTTTTATTCTTTATCTTTTTTTAAATATTTTACATAAATCTTAATAGTAACTAATATTATTTTATTTATAATTTATATTTGTTAGGTTTTATTATGTCATTTGTTTATCTTATTATTCTTATTTATCATATATCAAATTTTATCTTAATAAAATAATTGTATTTTAAATGATTAAAGGAATTGATAATTTAAACTTCTATTACTTTGAATTAATTGAATAATAATTAACTTATTAAATATTTCATTATAAATTATATATTTCATATTTTATAAATTATATATTTCATATTTTTAAATTACAACTTAAAAATGAATTAACTTATATATATAATCAAATGTTTAAATATAATATTATAATAATAATGATAATGTTATAAATATTCAAATATTTGAATACAATATTATAATAATAATAATAATAATAATGTTATAAATAAAAAATAATTAAATATTTTTTTATATATATATTTTAATATAAATATAATAAATTATAAATATTTATTTATATATAAAAAATAAATAATAAAATTAATATATTATAAATATAATTATGTTTCTAAAAATAATATAGACAGGGACGAGACAGACACGATAAATCCGAAATCTAAGAGAGACAGGAATGGAAACTTAAATTTTACCCCGAGATCGAGGGGTGGGAAGAGATTAAAAAATTCGCGACGGGTATCCGATCCGTTGCCATGCCTAGTTATATTTTCTTAAAGGCAAAAATAAAATACCCTGCAACTTAACCCTAAGCTAAGCCCCCCTCTAAACGGTCCACTCCGAACACTCTCTCATTCTTCCATCCGTCACCGTCTCTGTCCGGGGTTTTGTCCAACAACGGTGCCGTTCGCCTCCGCGCCAGATCTGGTTAACGGTTCACGTAAGCATAATGTTACTAGTGTGTCGTTTAGTGTGACCCACCTTCATTAAAACCCTATGCAACGGCACCGACCTTGTGTTCAGTTCAAACCTCTCCTTTCCCTCTTACACCCCTCCATTTCTCTCTCCTTCTGTGCGCTACTTTGATCACAATGTCCACCTTTGGAGCCGCAAATACCAATCCCAACAAATCCTTCGAGGTAATAATAATAACAATCTTCTCGTTCTTCAATGTTGAATCAGTCACATTTTGTTTTCAATGTTTTTTTTTCTCAAATGAAAAATTCAGGTCGCCCAACCACCCTCTGATTCAATTTCCAGTCTTTCGTTCAGTCCCAAGGCCAACTTCCTCGTCGCTACTTCATGGGATAATCAGGTTTCTTTTTTTTTTTTTTAATCTTTTTTTTTTTTTGTTTATTCTCAAATCTAAAGACAACACGAAACCCTAAATACGAAAACTTCTTTCTAATTTTCTGACAATTTCTACTTTCATAGGTTCGGTGTTGGGAGATAACAAGGAATGGGACTGTTGTCACGAGTACACCCAAGGCTTCCATTTCTCATGACCAACCGGTAATGAACTTGATTTTGAAATTGAATTCCAAACTCCACTAGGTATTGTTAGAAAAAATGGATTACTATTAAGTATTTTTGTTGGGGTTTGAAGTGGCATTGGTCATTGGGGACTCTTTTATTGAATCTGCTGCTTGTTTAATTTGTGAAGGTTTTGTGCTCTGCTTGGAAGGATGATGGAACGACAGTTTTTTCTGGGGGCTGCGATAAGCAGGTCAAGATGTGGCCACTTACGTCTGGTGGACAACCAATGACTGTTGCGATGCACGATGCTCCTGTGAAAGATCTTGCGTGGATACCGGAGATGAATCTTTTAGCTACTGGAAGCTGGGACAAGACCCTGAAGTATGCATCTTGATTCTTTTCTGCATTTTGAGCGTAATAGGGTTTCTAGTGATGTTGTGTTACTGGTAAAAGTGTGAATTAGAGTATGATTGCTTTTAGTGTCGTGTCTTTTCTATCATTTATAAGTCAGGAGCTTATGAGCTGATCGATCTTTGGTTCTAATGTGGATTTGGAAAAGGATCTATTGTGGGATGATGACCAGAAACTAAAAGGGCCTTCGATATGTCATTCTAAAGGTTTAGGCCCCTCGGTCTGCCCTTTGTCACTCCAAAAGTGTAGGCTTTTTAATTAAATAAAAATTTCTCTCAACCATGATTCTCTTATGGGTTGCTAGCCCAGTTCAGATAAACATTATTCTATATAGTAGAGGACATTTTTTAAAATGTAAAACAACATAACACTGTATTGTGTTTATAAATTACCCGTGTCAAATGTAACACATTCTGTGATCAAGTGAAGATTCCTATTTGTTTTGGGATCACAGAAACTACATCTGTTTTGGCCACCGTATCTGTTAATGTGTTGATGAGGTGGCAATTTATTGCATGCTCAGTTATGAATATGTGGTATATTGTAATGTGTTTACTTTCATTGTTAGGCTAGGCTAGGAAGCATAACAAAATAGAATAATGTTTCAATTCATTTGGAACATTTTATTCTCATTTCTGTCTTTTCATAGACTTCTGAAAGAGAAGTTTAAATATAGTAACCATTTTATGCATCCTTACTAAAATACTTGGTTCTTGTTCGGAAGCTTTCACAAATGACCAGTTTTTCTCCTTTTGTTCTATCTTGATGGAGTTTATGATTGTCTATTTTGGTAACATTGTGACACTTACTATGAAACTTGTAGTAGTGAAAAATGCATTTTCTGAACTAATTGATTTTCTTCCTATTTGTGTAACAGATTGAGTTGAAGTTTTAACTACATTGTAAATTATTTTACACTTTATTTTAGGTATTGGGATACAAGGCAGTCAAATCCAGTGCATACACAACAACTCCCCGATCGCTGTTATGCAATAACAGTGAAACATCCTCTGATGGTAGTGGGAACTGCAGATCGAAATCTGATTGTCTTCAACTTGCAAAATCCTCAGGTAATGTCTCATTCTTCTTTCTTAAATAATTTTATGTTGTTGCTTGTAGTTTTGTAAGAAATAGGTTGCCAAATAGATTGAACCCCCTGCCCAACTCTCCACTTCTTCCCCTTATTCTATATAACTAACTGATTACAAGTCCTCCCTTGCCAGCTTACTACCCTTAATTCTGCTGCCACGTTTCCAGTATTTCCACCAAATATTTGGTCTATTTTCCACATTAGGGATAAGCTGGCCCAAGTCTTTCTCTCTATTTCCATCAGTTAGTGTGTGATTTTGTTGCATCATGTAAAATGTGCATTATCTATTATTTGCATTTTGCTCCTTGCAAGTGTAGTCAGGGGTTTAGATTTCTACAAAATACAAGAACTTGGACAACACAATATGGCATTGTTAAAATCCTTTTGATTCTCAAGAATTAACCTGCACTTCTGAAGGGCACGCTCCATTTTACAGGAACTGGATCCTGATCATCTGAACGTTTACTAAGTCTTATCACACCTTGGAAAAACACTAAAATTAGTTAAATTGTTCTGTACGTAATGTGTTAAATTTTACTTATTGTTCTAACTTAAGTAGTCAGCAAAAAAAAAAAAAAATATCACATTGGCCTGCTTATTGAAGAGAGTGGAGGAAATATAAAGTGAAGTCATGGAAATGCCAACCCAATTGAAAATGAATGTCTGTATTTAACCACTTTTTTATTTTCTTTATGTGTGTGTTTGTGCAGACATATATATTTGTATAAATGAGGTGATGTACGAGGGAGAGGACCTTTTGTTTCTAGTGAGAAGAATAGGTATTGACCATTAATTAGATCATATACCGAATGCTCAAGATTAAAACCCACAGAACATGGTTTTTAAAAAGATTGGTGACTTTTTAAGTGATCATGTGACCCTATGAAATCTTTTAATCTTGACTATGCATTTGTTGTATGACCTAAATTTACTCCTCCTGTTCTCCTATTAAAAGCATCCTCTCAGATATTTCCTGCATATGTATAAATAAGTTCTTTAACCAACTTCACTCACCATTTTCACATGATTTGTTTGTAGTCACTTGTTCTACTCTTTCTGGTTATACATGATTTTGACAAGTAGAAATTAAGAAGCACTGATTTCATATTAATATTTGAGGAGCTATCGATTTCCATAAATATCAATATTATATGTTTTTCTTCTAATTTATATTGAAATCCCGACAGACTGAATACAAGAGAATTGTATCTCCCCTGAAATATCAGACAAGATGTGTTGCGGCTTTTCCAGATCAACAAGGGTTTTTGGTATGTATACAACTCTCATTTACATTTAACTACACTAAAAGAAGTTTTGTTGTTTCCTACTTTATTTTTATTAATCCCATTACTGCTAAGACATGAGGCAACTTTGAGCATGGTTTGGGGCTTACATACTAATGTTTTGAATATCCTCTACAGCTTGAGGATGGTCATACCTATGTTGCACAGTATGGAATTTTTCCAATGTCTAGGATTTGTGTATGTTAACATAAAACTTACAAAATATACATATATAAGAAAATATAATTTATACAAACATGATCAAATTGTAGGAATGATAAAATATACAAATGGGCACAACATATAAAATCAAAGGAGATTAAAATTTTCAACATAGCATTAAATATATATCATAATGAACTATAATTTGTAAATTGTTGTGAAATGCAAGCATAACTATGATAACACACTTCAACAGTTTCAATTTCATTGTTTCCTTGTCCATTGTCAATGAAAAGGTTGATTTGTGCTTTTTTTCTGCTTTGTGAGACGTAGCACAATGATGCATATCTGAAAAAAAAGGTCTTCTCAAATATGATAATATGAATTATAATAAAGTAATAAACTAAATTTCAAAGATTTCATCATTAAGACATAGGAGATACATTTGGGAGAAAATTGGAAAGAGTCCTTCTCACAGATTTGGGAGGTGGAGAATAGATGTATGAGTGGGCAAAACAAGTCAGAGTTGCTCAAACATAGACTTGATGTCATCCATCATGTGATGTCCCCAGACATGAACAAGGACACAACAATGTGAATGAGTACAAGTAGTTTAAAAGGGAAAAAAAACTCAGCTATTTACTTTTTTTTTTTTTTACTAAGGGACAATATTTTCTATTTGTTGGATCTTAAGATATACAGTGTCCTACATGTATCCAAATTGAGTATCTATTTTATATTGAATTTTTTTGTGGTGCATCCTGGTACAGACCCACAACTACTGGACATGGTGTGAGAACGTATTTTTGTAAGGAAAAGTTTTTCTTATCTTCTAGAATATCTTGTAAAGCTGTTTTTTTTTTTTTTTTTTTTTTCTGTACCTGTCAATTATATAGGGTCCTAGGGTGTAGGCTTTCAGATAGTATATTTTTCTATATTAACGGATCAGCTGGGAGTGATCGAAAATTTTCTCCAAAACTCCTTATACTCAAATGTATTCCATTGAGAAGTTAGACAAATGGATGCCAATGCACCTTCATAAAAGAATTTTGAACTGAACCTGTCAAATGATTATTTTGGGGCCTTAATTTTTGAGATATAATCATGTAGAGGCTTCAAATTGAATTATGCAATGGAGTATACAGTATAATTTAGTATACTATACTAAATAGTGTTGTGCATACTTTCTATGATGATTAATGTGCCGTCCCAGTATCTCATGCGATGTCTGTTGAAGTAACAGATATTGTAACTGCTTGAATCTGTTTTTGATCCAACCCTGTTATAAATTGTTACAACTGCATGATTATGTTGCAACAGTCTGCCATATAGTTGGTATATTGTATGATGGTCACAGAATACAAATAATGATTCTGTTTTGTTAGTAATTAGAACACTTTGAGACTCCTAAATTTTCTCATAACTTTTTCTTTTCCTCCCACTTCGCCTCATTTTGTGTTCGCTTGGACATCTCCTTTTTTTTGTTTCAACTGTATTTGACTTGTGGTACATATACAAACTTAAACATCAATCCTGTTCTTTGAATTTAACTAGTCTCCACTTTTGCATCTATGATTTTGCTGTTTTCCTGCCGCTGTTTTTGTCAAATCCTTCCTGTATTTCTGCTGAACATTACCTTTTTGCTTCAATAATTTGAACTGCTGGCATAATGAAGTATTGGCGATACTGTTTCTCTATAGGTTGGCTCGATAGAAGGAAGGGTTGGAGTACATCACCTGGATGATGCACAACAAAGCAAGAATTTTACTTTTAAATGCCACAGAGAGAACAATGAGATATATTCAGTCAACTCCTTAAATTTCCATCCGGTAGTACACCATATAACAACAAAGTTTGTTAAATTTATTTTTGATGTTATGGATTTAATATTCTTCTATGTAAGATCTGATTTTATGTCTTGGTTTTCAGATACATCACACTTTTGCCACTGCCGGATCTGATGGTGCTTTTAATTTCTGGGACAAGGACAGTAAACAGAGGCTCAAGGTTCCTGCTTTCTTTAATACACTCTTCTCACCTGTCCTTTCATTCTGAAACTGATCTCTGGAATTTACAGAACATACTTGTGTTGTTGTTTATTTCTGGATCCTGTTTCATAGTTGACTTATCTGTATATATGGCTGAATACCTGGTACCGAGATATTATTGTTACTCTCCAATTTGCATGTTATCACTTACAGGAAATGGAAGGATGAATCCCTTTCAATATCCAATTTCGATGTTTGTGTTTCTTTTTTGGGTTCTTAAAGCCTCGGTTACTGTGTTGAAAATGTATGAAGATCTTGAAAGTAATTTGTTGTCTTCTATCTACCTTCAATCCTTTTGAAGTATTTGTTGATATTTATATTTTGCTTATTTGACTTCAATTTGTCTTTCAGGCTATGCAAAGGTGTAGTCAACCCATACCTTGCAGTGCATTCAATAATGATGGTTCCATATTTGCTTATGCGGTATGTTCCATTTGCTGTTTTAACAAACCACAATACTTATTTGCTTATACAGTTATATTTTTTTGCTTCATTTCTCGAGTGACCTTTCTTTCATAAATAAGGAAACCTATATATTGGTGTGTATGTTCTTCATCAGATGCATATTTTGGCTATATACAATTGAAGTCTTTCTCTTGCTTGTTTTCGCTCTGTGGTACATACCACATTACAAGTTCCATTCTTCAGCTTCATGAACTTGCTTTGAAAATAAGTATAAACTTAGCTTGTTTTTTGTTGACATACCAACGTGACTTATCTGTTTAATTACCATTTTTTTGGTTCTGAAACCTTCATTCATTTCTTTAGGTTTGTTATGATTGGAGCAAGGGTGCAGAAAATCACAATCCAGCTACTGCGAAGAACTACATTTATTTGCACTTGCCACAGGTAGGCTTGTGCATACGTATACATACTTGCTTGAGTTTTATAATCTCTCCATGAACAGATTTAACAACTAAATCGATGGACGAGACTGAATGAAAATATTAAATAGTTAAACAGAATGGAAACAATTATTATTCTTTCATTTGGAATATGATTAGATTAAATAAAGATTGATATGCTTAATTATACAATTTTATTGTTGTAGTCTTTCCATCTCTTGATCAACCAGCATTTAAGACGGGTACCCAAAATAAGTTGAGGGGTGCTTTATTCATGTCGTGTTCATATTTACTTGTGCTTATTTCATTTTTTTTTCCCATTCTACAAGCATGAGAATTTAAGACTAAGCTTTCTTTCTCATGTGAATAGGAATCTGAGGTTAAAGGCAAGCCACGAGCTGGAGCTACGGGTAGAAAGTGAAATTTCATGCTGAAGGACGATTTTGTTTTGGTACTCGTGGAGATTTTGAAACTGTAATCATGAGATTGGTCATTTAATGTGGAACAGCTACAATGAGAAAATTCATACTTTCATTTTTTTAATCTAAAATTTTCCTAGGAAAGCCCGTTTTTCTACCTGACCGATGTACCTTATCATGATTTAGGTCATAGGCTGTTATCCTTTTATTATCACATGAACGGTTTCAGATGAAGCTAATGTGTTTTACAGTTTATGTGGATGGGAAGTACGCATTTCTCCACCCCTTCATCCTCCTCCTCCTCAATGATAACTATATTTTGACCTGTATTTGACATGTGCATTGCACATAATAAATATTTTTTTTAAATTATTTTTTTAACAAATAAATACTTACAATATATGAATTAAATTATAATCAAATTATGTAATAAATAAATATTTTTGAATATATAAATCATAATTTAAATATATGATAGACCATTTATGTTGATATAATATTATTTTTAATTAGTAATTTCATTTTAAAAATTTTATAATTCAAGTGAGGACTGAAGATATTGAAAATAACAGATTAGTAAATATATGATGTTAACAAATTTTGCTAGAATTGTTATTGTTGAAGAAAAAGTCTTAAAAATAATATCTTAAAGGATCGTTGTTAAGAGAAAAAAAAACCTTTCTAACTTGTAGGAAAATTTAATTTATTTTACTTTATTTATTTATATCTTCTAGAAACTTGTAAGGTTTTGTAGACTATAGCAACAGGTCTTTCTAAGAGTTTAGTATCTCCACATATGGTAGATAATGGTGTAAATATAGGGTTCAACAAGACTTAAATAATTATGTGTATTTTATACACTATATAAGTACCTATTATTTATATGTTACAAGTCCAGTTTTAAGTCTAATATAAACTTTATAATAATTTATTTTAGAATTTATTTGCAACAAGACTTCTAAAAATAGTGTATATTTATTTTGAAAATAGTTTATAAATTTGTTTTTTTATTAGTATCTAAAAATAAATATATTAATCATAGTTTTAAATCATTATGCAAAAATGAATATAATACAATTAACATAAAAAATGTTTACTTAAAAATATTATGAAAATTTTAACCTAGTTCATATTTGTTAACAACGTTTGATATAATATGATATAGATAATGTTATAAGTCTTTATTGAGTAGCTTGATAAATTTTTATTCCTAATGGTAAGAACGGTTGAAGTGTTAGCTTATATTATTCAAATTAGATTAACAAAGATAAAAACTTGTTAAAAACGTTTCTTATTGAAAATGAATAGTTTAAGTTTGTGATCTAAAAGCTCCTGTGATGTGATTCCCTTTGAGACTTAAGTAAAGTATTTCAATCAATAACTTAATCAAGAATCTCTATGAATATCTCGACAATGAAAAAGAAATGAAATAAAAAAATGTATATAATATAAAACATGGAAAAAATGAAATGATTAAAGACTACACCTTTAAAGATCCTAAAGATACTATATTATTGATGACTTAAAGAAACTATATTGGATAAAAATTAAATTAAGAATATCAAACTTTCAAGATATTTTATTTCCTAATAAATTAGTTCTAACTGGTAAATAGTTGAAGTTCATCTAAGATATCTAGTCATTTTGTTGTAAAACATGCTAGAAATTTCTAAAATATTAAAAACCTTTAGAATATTGTAAAATATATGTTTTTTTTTAAACAGAATTACATTTGTAAAATTTTAGGAATATTTTAAGAGTATTTTAAAAAAAATAGTTTTTAAATATTTTCAAAAGATTATAATATTAACATATTTGATTAAAAAAAGACTAATTTTTTATAAAGAGTTTTTTAATTTTTTATTTTATGTTCTCTAATCTATTTTTTTGGCTTTATATTTTTTCTTTATAAAATATTTATATCTTTATCTTCTTCCTCTTTTAGTTATGTTATTTGTAAAGATTATTTGAGATATTCTTCCTTCTTATTAATGTTCTCACTATATATAATTTATAATAATTGTGTTTCTTTGCTAAGTGTTATGATTCCAAATTATCTATGGAGGTTCCAGAGTTAGCAACTCAGTAAATGTTAAAATAACACTAATTGCTATAAGAGATATTATAAAATATGATACCAATAACACGACCTGTATGTTTTATTAAAATTTTAGTATTTCAAGCATGTAGATAATATTTTTTTTTACGAAATATTATTACATAAATTATATTTTATTTTATTAAGATTTATATAATTAATAATCTAGGTAAATATATTATATAAATAGGTTGTACATATTCTATTTCATATAAGATAATAAATATATTTTAGTTTAATATCTGAGAAGTGACCATATTTTAGATCTTGAAGATCATTTAAAATTTGTGTGGAGGAAAAAAAACTTGATACATTTGGAACGAAATTAGTTCCTTTTATCGTTCAAACTCAGAAAATTTCTAATACTCTTTTATGGTAAATGAAAATAAAACCCTATTGAAAATGATATTTAAATCTTACTTGTACTTTAAGACTTAATTATGTTTTAATTATTTTTTTCAATCTTTTATTTATTTCCCAAATAACAACTTATTTATCTTGTGTAATTATTTTTTAACCAGACTTGTGTTATTAAAGATATCAAAACAAAATAATCAATTAATTATAATATTAAGAGAAGAAATTTATATTACCTAAATTTTTAAAAAAATTATGATGAGTCACAACACGCATTAATGGTTGGTAAAGAAAATAAAATATATGAAATTTGGTTGACATCGGCACCTTGGTTATGTCTCATTTGAGTATTTTAAAAAAATTATTTACTACTTTATTTAAAAAACATAATGTTTGTAGTTTTAATTGTGGTGTTTGTGAACTAGAAAAGTCATAAAATGCCATTTTAAATAAAAGCCCTTAATCTTTTATGATAATATATCCTGGTGTGTGTGATTCATATAAAGTTCAAACTTTAGATGAATCTCGTTAGTTTGTTATTTTTATTGATGATTGTATAAAAATTAATTACTTGTACATAATGAAATCAGATAAGGTAAGTTTATTATTGAGAATTTTTCATAAAATGGTAAAAACTCAATATAATGCTAAAATTTAGGTTTTACATAGTGATAATGATGAGAAGTATAAAAATTGTGAACTCTAACAATATTTATAAGCTAATAAAATTATTAATCAAATTACTTGTCCCAATACACCTCAACAAAATAAGGTTGTTGAGAGAAAAATTTGGCATTTGTTTGAAGTTGTTTGTGTTTCATTGATCATGTCATTGTGTTATTGTGGAACTCTTACTTTAACATTATTTAATAAATTAGTTCCCTTATTAGTTTTAAGATTCCTTTTGAAACACTCCATAATTTAACTATCACTCTAATTGTTCATAATTCACCCTATCATATATTTGGATGTGTTGTATTTGTTCATTTTCATAAGTATCAATGCAACAAGTTGACTCTACGGGCCACTCAATATATTTTTGTTGGATATACTATACACAAAAAAGAATATAAGTGTTATCATTCTCATACTCATCATATGTATATAATAGTAGATGTGGTTTTTCACAAAGATACAATATATTTTCCCTTTGATTATGATTTTTAGGGAGGAAACTAACAAAAAATTCAGGATATCTAAGTGATACAATTTCATATCTTCATCCTTTAAGAGATGAAGAAGAAGCTGATATTAAAGAATAATCACAAGACTCTTATACTAAAGATGACATTGAAGTTCTACACGAATCTCTTACCAAAGATAATATTGAAGTCTCATATGAATCTCTTAGTGAAGATAATATTGAAACCCCACAAGAACCTCTTAGTGGAGATAACATTGAAGTGCCCTAAGAGTCTTTATATGAAAATAATATTGAATCCCTAATGAATCTCTTAATGAAGATGTTATAAATCATTTGTTGACTAAAAAATAATTGTCAAATTAGGTATTCATAAACTTATTTATGAGACAAAACATTATAGTAAAGTTAAATATCCTGAGTCATTATCTATCGAATATGAGTCATTATCTATCGAATAATAGATTGTTAGAAATAAATAAAATATTCATGAATAAGTTATTTACTATATCTATCTCTATAAGAATTTGCAGGAAGCTTATTTTAATCTAAGATGGAAGATCGCTATAAATAAGGAGATGAACTTACTTAAAAAGGATGATACTTGGATTTTGGTTGATTGTCCACTAGGAAATAAATCAGTAGGATGCTAGTGGATTTGCTCTATTAAATATAAAACAAATAAGTATAATAGAAAAATATAAAGAATACTAATGACAAAAGGATATACTCAAGCATATGAGGTTGATAATACAAAGATATTTTCTCATGTAGCAAAAATTAATATTGTCCGAATATTATTGTCTTTGGTAGCAAATTTGAATTGGTCATTATAGTAATTTGATGTAAAAAATGCATTTTTACATAGGAGATTAACTGAAAACGTGTATATGAAACTCCCACCATGTTGAAAATTCTAGTGTGAGTTTGAAGTCACATATTGGATAGAAATGAGAAATTTGAGTAGTTTACAAGTGAGAAAGACCCATAACCTAATGTGTTAAGATTTTTGGTTAAAGGCGATGTCATATTCTCTTATATGGTTGACTTGTGTCCCATTTTCTAGAATCTTCCTATTGTCAGCCCCCTAAAAATACCTAATAGTGGTATCAAAGGTGAGGATTCGTATGGTGACTGACTCAGTTGAATACGATTAAAAGTAGGTGAAAGATCCTATATTATGGATCAATGTGTTGAATCTTCCTAATAAGGGTTTTAGGCAAGTTAGTCCTATTGAGTTGAACAACATTACAAGTAAGGTCATTACTAGGTACTCACGGTTAAGAAATGTCTTCGCTCAAGGGGGTGGTGTACCAATGTAAAAGGGAATCACACTTGAGGGAAAAATTATTGAGAATTCAAGTGAGTTTTAAGTTTCACATTGAATAGAAATTGGAAAGTTAAGTAATTTATTAGTGAGAAAGACTCATAACCTATTGTCTTAAGGTTTTGAGTTGGAGGTGATTTTATATTCTTTTATATGATTGACTTGTGTCTTATTTGTAAGAATTTCCCTATTGTTAATCTTCTCGAAAATACCTAACACACCAAGTTGCATGATACTTGAAAAACATGAATAAATGTATGCTAATTAAAAAAACTATTTGTATGAGTTAAAACAATCTCCATGAATATGATTTAGAATGTATACAAAATTTATAAGAATATCATTAGAGTAATTCATATCATACTTTATTTTTTAATAAGAAGGTAAGATGACTGGACATATTATATATGTGAATGATTGTTACAATAAATGATCCAAAGGAAAGTAAAACGTTAAACTGATGCTAATTGGGCTAGATCATTAGAAGATAGATGATCAACATAAGATTGTTTTACATTTATTAGTTGTAATTTTGTTACATGGAAAAACAACATATAAAATGTGATCTCTCACTCAAGTGGAGAAATTGAACTTAGATGTTTGATACTTGAAATTTGTTAATGTTTATAATTAAGATTCCTCTTGTAAGATCTAGGATACTCATCTATATAAAATGTTCTCGGATTAATTTAGAAAAATAGTGGAGGATAAAAAACAAAACATTTTTGTTAAATTAGTATACCGTCCTGGTATATTTTACCGTTTAGAATTATACCCTAACGAAATTTGGAACTATATTGAGACTGTAAGGGTTAGATTAGTATATACTTTGGAGTCCATCACCCCTTATTTTCTAAAAAGCTCGCGACTGCACATAAAATAAGACTAAGTTAATAATTTAAGTTAGTTTTTTTTATCATTAGAGTGACCCGAGTTTAAAACTGAAATCGGGTTCTTACATTGTAAGTACTCTTAATATAAAATGAAAATATTTTTACAACAATTTCAATTAATTATAAATCCAAAATACTATTTACAAGCTTCTAAGTACGGATACATTCATTCTAAATATTTTGCTTATGACCAATTATTATATATATATATATATATATATATATATATATATATATATATATATATATATAGATATATAGTGAAGTTATATCTTTTGAAAAATAAATTAAAATGAATTATTAATTTTTTTTTCTAAACTTAGTTAAATGTTAGACCACCACTAACCATAAATTACTAAAATAAAATGAAAACACGAACAGGTGGGAAGTTACGTGATAACTATGCTAATAAACCAAAGGTGTCGGATTGAATTCTTTGGTATAAATAATTTATTATTTAACTATATATATAATATTGATTTAATAAATTGTTGGAGCCTATGTATATATATTATAAGGTTAAGTCTTAAAATACAAAAGTAAATAAGTAAGTGAAATAGACCTAAAAATTTATTATCTTAATTTTAAAAAAATATTATATTCTCTTATTTGATTAATTGAAAAATTATTGTTGAAAATTTTCTTAATAGTATTATTTGAGTAAATTTTTATTACTAAAAAAAAGACAATTTTTCCACAGCCAAATTTATTATTAGACTTGAGTCTTACTTATGTCTTTTTCATATTTACCTCTTCTTATTGTCTCCATTAATATTGTTCATATATAATTTATTGGATTTTTTTATATATATTTGTTATAACTTATGAAATTAATAAGCTCACTTCCATTCACCACAAATAGACGAGGCAAGGAGTTTGATTAATATGATTGGGTGTGATTACTAAGAAAAGTTACGTCATTCCCTTCTTAGAAAAGGAACAGTATAATCCACCTGCTCACTAGAAAACATATCCATCCTTATAGTCTTCATTCTCTATTGGTTGAAGCCATGTTGCTGTTCCACATATTACTTTCACTAACTATTTCTTAATTAACCACACTCAGAAGAAGTCAATTGCCTCAACCTGCTATTTTTTCTTTTGTCTTTATCGATATTCATTTTTCTTTACCTTGACATTTATAGCACCTTTTAAATAAAAAACTGAGTGGTATTCTATTTTCAGTGATCAAAGAATTTTCAAGTTTCAGTCCCGAATACAACCTTAAAATTAAATATTATTTTATAATATTTTTAGATTAAATTGAAGAGGGTAGAGTGTTTATTTGATAAGCTCGAAAACTTTTTTTTTTTTAACTACTTAGAGTCATACCATCCAAGCAGGACTTGGTGTAGTTGAGAATTCTATCTACTGGGTCCCTCTCCCATTATTGGATATCCTCTTGCGTCACTCTGAACATTTATCTGTTTGATATATATATATACTACCCACATAAATCAAAGTTGGGTTGGAAAAAGTTGATTCACCAAAAACTGAACAAAAGTAGAATTTCGTAATAATCTTTCTTATTGTTTTTTAACTTTAACTTAATTTTAATAAATGATTGAAACATTTACAAACTTAGCAGGTGAGAGTGTAGATTTGAATCATGGTAGAAATTTGCATAAGAAACCATGCAAATTATAGTCTACAAATAGATTTTGGATTGGATTGGGTTGCACTTAATAATTTTATTTTTCGTTTATTTCTATTTCTGAATACATTGAGCACTTAGTTCGTTCTCTCTTAAACTTAAATTGCAACAATCATACTTAAAGACAAAGCAACCAAAGCCATTTCATGAGTTCATGAAAAAAAAAAATTACAAAAAAAGAGTACCATGCATATGTACTCATGACAATGAACATTGTATACAAGCAAACACACATGAATTAATAAACATTGTAAGACTATAGCACTAGCTGATATAATTGACACTATATTTCTGTCTGTGACATTACACAAATTAATCTCAAACTAGGAAATCATCTTGAACAAAGGGTCCTCTAGAAGGATCTCAGGCCAAATAGTGCAACTATCTTCCACATTAGTCAATGAAACCTCCGTCGTAACTGGTGGAACAACATGGGAAGAAGGAGAAGAAGGGGTAGTGCTTGAACACGAAAGAAGCCATGGAGAATTAGGGTAACTTTCTGCTTGATAGAATTGAACCATGTCTTTATTACTTAATGGCGCTTCATAGGAACAAGAAGGTGGTGTTTTCAACTCAGGCATGTGAGAGAAAGGGATGGAATCATTAACGAATTGGGCACTGCCAATTCCATTAGATGACATAGAACTAGTATCATTTGAAACATTGATGGTGGTGTCCTTGTTCATCAAAGAGGTACTGTTTGTTATACTATTAACTGTGTTAGGATCTGCCTCTGTGAATGAAGCTTGTGGCAGCAAGAGGTGTTGCTGTAAGCTTTGGAGCCTGGCCAATTGGATGGCCTCTTCTTGAAGCCTTGATAGGCTTTGTTCCCATGGTTGATGGTGATGATCCAAAAGTTCTTTCAGGTTAGCCAGTGCTATTAGGTGAGACAAGCCTGAGATGATATCATCAGTTCGAGGCTGGTGTGTCATTGGATCATAACCCATTTGAATCAGCTTCTTCTTCAGATGAGTGTTCCAAAAATTCTTGACTTCATTATCTGTTCTACCAGGTAAGTGACTTGCTATTGCGGACCATCTAATCAAAAGGAGAAAAATCAAATATTACATGAGGAATAATTCAAAATTCCTGTACATAATGCATAGAAAATAGTTTTCTAAGACGAATTTATGGAGTCAAGAGTATAAGGATATACTATATAATTAATGGAAAATATATACATTAAAACTATCCTTACGAGAAGCAGTATATTTAAGAATATAGTTATTATCAAAGCCAAAAACAAGTACTAGCTAGTGTGTTAAATATTTACTTGTTTCCAAGGATGGCATGGAGATCCAAAATTGTTTGTTCTTCTTCTTTGGAAAATTTTCCTCTTTTAATGTCAGGCCTCAAGTAGTTCGTCCACCTTAACCTGCAACTTTTGCCACACCTGTTGAGTCCTGTTAACAAATAGAAATGACCCTCATTAGTTATAGACCTAAAAAGAGAAACTAATGAGTTTTGTGACCCTATGACTAATACATTAAATATATATACAGTATTACCTGCTAGTTTTGGAAGTGCCCTCCAGCTTGCATGACCATATTTTTGAATGTGGTTAACAAGCTTCTGATCTTCTTCAGGTGTCCAAGGACCTTTCTTCAAACCAATTTCATCACAGCATGGAGATCTTCCCATGTCTACTATTTTATGGTATCCTAATTACTGTGTCTTTCTTCTTTATCCACTCTCTCCGAGAAGGAAGCTTAGGCACTCCCTTCAAATTCAAATGTTGGATAGGGGGTGGATACTTCCTACACATGCAACCTAAAGTGGCAGCTACTATTTATAGGGCGAATATATGGTGTGTTTGAGACCCACAAGGTTTCAATTAATAGAAGTTGAAACTCATCATCACGTGTTACCTAAAGCAACCGTACATTTTCTTGTGCAAAATTACAAATAAAACCTTTGTCAACCATCAGTGGTTGGTCACTGCAGAAGTAAACTTTGATTTTTAAACCAACTTGTAGTGTTATTAGTTTGAATTATTCCCTAATTTGAAACCCTAAAGATTTTTCTACCTCAGTTTTAAAAAATCAATGTAGCATCCAGGGACGTAGAGTTTCTGTGACTTCAATCGTAACACGTGGATTTTTCTACCACACATTTATACGTGAGTTTGTACAATATTGAAGATCCTAATCGATTCACAACTACAACTACTAGTGACTTCTAAAATTATAGCTTGGATATACCTGATTAAAGACCAGGAATGTGTCAATGTTGAAAAGACAATTAAGTGGAGGGAATTACATTTTACTGCTCAATTTGAGATAGGATGAAGAAAACAACGAATTAATAATTTTCATTTAAGCTGAAATTACTTTTAGTAGTTTCCTTTTTCATTATTAAGATTCAAAACGTTAAACTAAACACACATATTACCCTTTGATCAATTTCCAACCAATGTTGGATGTTGGTTTTCAAAATCTTAGTAGTAATGAAACGAATCCAGTGATGTCACGTACGAAAATCTTGATGATTTTGCCTTAAGAAAAGAAAAAGAGGGATTATAGCCTTTAGTGGAGCTAGTTAGACGAGAAGTTGGTGAGGCAAACTCTCTAACTTTCTTACCCTCTCTATAACTCACTTTCCTTTCATATACTCTGGAACCCATTAACGGGTTCTGTAATGCCTTCTTCGTCGTTTTTTCTTTGCATTTATTTATCTTGTTTTTATACGAGTAAGAGCTAACTTTGTCATTTATTTATATGGAAATGAATGATAGCGTGTTTTCTTTGTTATGGTAGGCATGTTAATTGAGATGATAATTTCCGTACGAATCCGCGTAAAACAAGTCTTGTCATGTAACTTTTCATGAATAAACTTCATGTAACTTTTCATCAATAAACTTTATGACGCAAAAAATGAAATGACACTGTTTCCTTAATGACCGCAATAAATTAAAAAAAAAAAGGGTTTATGCGAGGGATTTATTTTCTTATAAACACACGGTAGGAGTCTGAATACTGTGTGAAGATGCTAAGTTGAAATTCTGAATAATGAAGAAAGCAAATTAATATTTATATATATATATATATATATATATATATATATATTTATTATTGAAAGTAAAATTACATATATACTGCATCTGTCTCGCTTCTAAAGCTGTGAATCTATTGCCAAAATAATGTTTTGCTGGTAATATGGTTTTAAAAATTGATATTAACAAATGATTTTGATTCTTTTGATTGAATTTTTTTTATAGTTAGCTATATAGACTTTCTTTTTCTTTTGATGGAAAACGATTAGTTTTATTAGGGTATCCTTCATCGTATTCTTTTCTGTTTGGATTAGGAAGTTCTTAGCATACTGATATGAATCCGCTTGACTCAAGGGAAATGTATATTTCCTTTGCAAGCAAGTCTCTTGAAATTGGCTCAATCAAGATTGAATATGACTCGGTCAAACTTGAACTAGTTTGTTTAAATTTTGATGTGTTAGTCCATCCTTTAAAAATGTTTTTTTTTTTTCTTGAGCATAATTGTTTCTTATGCTTTAAACTTGAAAAGTATTCAACAAGAATCTTAAAATGGTGCCCAGAAAAAGAAAGGGTTCGGATGTGTCTCGATTAGATGTGTGAGCTCTCAAACGTGCGCCACATTATGAATTCACTCCAGCATAAATGTTCTTTAAAGGTAAAACAAGGTTTGAACTCGAAAAGAAAATTGAAATCACGTGCTCAGAGAAAATTTCTGACTAGTCAAGATGTTGTTGAGAAAAGGGAGATCAGTTAGCTCCCACAAAAGACCTCAAATGACATAAGTAGGTTTTGATTTGGTTTGATGCTTTTGGCTACCTGGCTGGGTCGGAAACATATCTTTTAAGGTTGGGATGACTTGTTAGATTGTTTCTTTAGTGAGTTTTTGTGTAGAAGGTGGGAAGGTGTGTGTTTGGTTTCAATGGCTTCTTGAACGATAAACCTAAAAGTAAGTAGACATGGCCTATTCGTGCCTTTGCGTCGTGCCACCACGCCCTCTCCTCGTATCTTTGTGCATACCATGCTTGAGCTTCCTCATTGTGCTTCCCTTCTCCACTCGCCACACTAGTCCCATATGCAGAATACACTTAAATGTCAAATTAAACGGTTTTAATTTAGCACTTTTGTTTGTTTGTAAATTGTAAAAGGTCAAGAGTCGTTTTTATTGTAAATCATTAACAAAATTTAAGGTTTGGAACTAGAAGGTAATATTCTATACTTTATAAATTTATAGTCATACTCTTGTTGAAATAAAGTGAGAAATATAGAATAAAAGTAATTTTTACTTCACAAATTGGTATCAAGAATTTGTGAGCTTTAAGGCTTGATTATTATTTAGGTGTTTAATGTTAGAAGTGATGACCGGTATGACCAATAGGATGTCTATGTCATAATTGATAAAAGACAATCAACTTTAATAATTAGAGTCTTTAGACTAAGGTTCTTCTTGGATCCAAGATAATTGGGACATGGTTCAAGATGGTTTCAAAGAACTAGCAAAAATAGTTTGTAACTTAGCAACCCAAAACAAGTGCAAACAAAGGACAAAGTAGTTTTGTACATATTGTATCGAATTGTTTATGAGTTCAGATTTGAGAAGATAACAAATGTTTTTACTTCAAAAGAAGTGTGGGAAATTTTGGAGAGAGGAACTGATTGAATTAAGCAAGTCTAATTACAAACATTAGGTAGCAAGTTGGAGAATATGAAGATGAAAGAGTTGAGAGACATTTTCGAGTATATCCCGTGTGTTGAAATCGTGGTGAACCAACTCAACCGAAATGGAGAAAATCTAACTAATAACTAAGTTTTAAGATCATTAACTGATGATTTCGAGAATATTATAAACACAATAGAAGAGTCAAAGAACCTAACAACACTCGTAATAGACAAGCTAACTGGTTCTCTAGAGGCGCACAAACATTAGAAGAAGAAGAAAGGGGAGTCAAGACGAGAAGACATTTTAATCTCAAAACACTTGAGATAGAAGACGAGGTGGTAGAAGTCGAGGTAACAAACGAGGTGGTAGACATCATGATCAAGAATCATATAATGAGGAGAAAAATCGTCTAATCAACAAAGTTGGTGTGGAAGAAGAGGATGAGATCGTTGAAGAGGAGGTTGGTCATCAAGCTATAATGTCAAGTGTTATAAGTGTCACAAATATGATTACTATGCAAAAAAAATGTAACTCATATAAATGTTACGATTGTTGGACTAAAGAAAGAAGGGGAAGGGACGACCAATCTACTCATAGAAGATGTGAAAGCCAAAAGAGGGTTTATTGATGATGGTAGAAGGAAACACGAGTGTTAATCTAAACACAACAGTAAATACTGAAGCTAATCACAACACACCAAGAAATACTATAACTTAGAATGGTATTTAGACATGGGTGCAAGCAATCATATGTGTTGGGATGAACATTTATTCTGAGAACTAAATAAAGTTGAGGTTAGATATGTGCTTTTGGATATATTTTAGGATTACAATCAAATGTCACTACAATTTATTACCTACAAAAGGATGACCTAGTTGGGTTAATCCAAGATGTGTATTACCTTTCAGATCTCAAGAGTAGCATTTTGAGTATGAGATAACTTATAGAGAAATGATATTTGGTATTCATGAAAGATCAAATACTACACTTGAAGGACAAACTCAAGAGATAGATTACTCGAGTTAAAATGGGGAGAAACTGTATGTATAAGTTGAATTTGAGAAGTATTTAAAGCTTAATGAAGAAGACATGATGTTAATGTGACATCATCGATTTGGTTACTTGTATTTTGGTAGTCTAACTGAGTTGATGAAAAAAAAATGGTGCAAAAACTATTGAGCATAGAATTCGAGAGAAGATTTTGTGAAGAATGTGTACTCAATAAGCATGTGAGAACCTTGTTTCAAAAGAGGGTGGAATATCGTGCAAATGATTGAGTTGAATAGATTTATATCGATCTATGTGGACAGATTATCCCCAAATCTTTAAGTGGTAAAATATATTTTATTTCTTATGTTGATGATTCTCTCGTAAAACATTAATTTTCTTTTTGAAAGAGAAATTTGAGGTGTTTAAGATGTTCATAGTGATGGGGAAGAAAACAATGGGCAAACATATCAAATCGAACCAATTTTATAAAGGTGGTGAGTATACATCGACATCCTTCATGAAGTACTATGAGGATGAAGATATAAGGAGATGTTTGACAGTATTGTACTTATCTTAATAAAATGGTGGTTGAGAGAAAATAGAACTGTTTTTGAAATGATTCAGTTAATGTTAAAAAGTAAGAATAAGCCAAAGAAATTTTGGATAGAAATTGTGCAATGTGTCATCTATGTACAAAATAGGTGTATACATGCAAAACCAAATGATCAAACTCCACAAGAAGTATGGAGTGAAAAAAACCAATATGTGGCTCATCTTAGAGTATTCAAGAGTGTTGCTTATAATATGTACGAGCTTAGAGAGAAAGTACGAAGCTCAGAGATAGGAGCAATAAATTTGTTTTTATTGGGTATGATGAGAAGACTAAAGTTTACAAGTTGTTAAACCTAATAACCAAGAAAATGGTGGTGATTCGTGATGTGTGATTTGATGAAACAAGTGAGTGGAATTGGAATGATTCATTGAAGGATACTAGTAGAAGTGAAAGATCATCCATTGTTATACCACCGGCAATAGCAAATTTTGAAACAATTAATGATGATGAGCCACAACAACCTAGAATGTGGAGCTTGAAAGATTTATATGATTCAATAAATGAGGTACATATTATATATCTTTTGGCAGATTCCAAGTACATAAGCTTTGAAGAGCCAATGCTAGACGAGAAGTGGTGAGTTGCTATGAATGAGGAAATATGAGTTATAGAACGCAATTACACGTAAAAATTGACCGAGTTGTCGAGTTATATTCATTGCTGTGAAATGGGTATTCAAGAAAAAGATAAATGTTCAAGTAGAGATAACGATACAAAACTCGACTAATTGTGAAATGATACAAGTAGAAAAAGGGAATTGACTATGATGAGATGCTTGTTCTGGTAATGAGAATGGAGACAATACGATTGTTGATCTCATTGGCAACTCAGTTTAAATGACCAATCTTATAAATGGAAGTCAAGTCGACATTTTTTAATGGTGTACTTGAAGAAGAAGTTTATATGTTGAACACCCACTCGGATACACAAAAGGTGGAGAAGATAAGAAAGTGCTAATGTTGAAAAAGGCTTTGTACAGGTTAAAGCAAGCTCCCAAGCATGGAATACTCCTATAGATACATACTTTAAGGAGAACAAATTTGAACAGTATCCTTATGAACATGCTCTTTGTGTGATAAACTTAGGATTAATGAAATTCTTTCTTTGTTTGGAAGTTAGTGTTAGAAAAGTAGTTTTAAATCAAGAGGGGGGGTGAATTGATTTTTGAAAGTTTTTCGCAATACACAGATTATCTAATTCGAAAATTAAGATTACTTATCAATTCACAAATCACAAAGCAATCAAACAGTTTAAGTGCAGCAGCAGAAATTAAAGAGAGAAAGGTTAGGAAAGATTTCACCGGTAATTTTATACTCGGTTCACCCAATACCAGGGCTACGTCCGGACTCTACCAAATTCCAATTGGTTCCACTAGAATAGATGTTTTACGGACTCACCCTCTTACACCTATTCTAACTCTCCACCAAGAACCAAATTCCAGCTCTTGGAAACCTCTCGCAACCAAATTTCAGCCATGAGAGAAACCAAGTGCCCAAATTCCAGGCACCACACACAAGAACCAAATTCCAGCTCTTGCTTTAACCTTTCCACCAAGAACCAAATTCCAGCTTCTTGGCAACTTTCTACAACAATGCAGAAAACTTGTACCCAAATTCCAGGTACAAAACAAGACAAATGAATGAATAGAAATTTAAAAGAAGAAACAAAGAAAGCTCAAACCGGATTACACCAATCCACAGATCAGTATCTTCTTCAAAGAAATGCAAAGTGCCTCAAGAAAGATTTCAAAAGAAGTTCACAAAAACAACTTGTGTATCTTTCTTGAAAAATGCTAATAGTTGCTTGTATTGATTGCTTGAATTGTGTCAAAACCGATATGTGATCTATATCTCAAAGTTTCAAGCAAATCTGTTTATAAAAGAGTATTTTCAAATCTGCCGCATTAATTAATCTGTTGAAAGTTTGTTTTAATCATTGAAATAGCCGCTACAATCTGTTAAAAGTCCTTTCAACCCATTAATGCGTTCATGATCTTTAACGAAAATGTTTTAGTTGATACTGACCACGCTTTTATCAGCTTAAAACGTTTTACAAACATTTTCTAAGTATAAAACAATCGATTGAATCACGTATTAATCGATTGATTTGTTTAAAAACCTTCTTATAAAACTTTCCAAGTTATTTTAACTGATATAAAGTCGCTTCAATCGATTGAAAATCTGCACATATATTTTCAAGTCATTTTAATCGATTGAAAGTTCGTTTTAATCGATTGAAAAGATTTTCTAAGTTATTCTAATCGATTGAAATGCGTTTTAATCGATTGAAATAAGTCTGATCGGTCATAATTCAATTCTGATCGATCATAACCAACTCGATCGGTCATAATCTCATTCTGATCGATCATACTGACATCCAAAGTGATTTTAATCGATTGAAACGTGTTTTAATCGATTAAAATAATTCTAATCGCTCATATTTAAGATCTGATCGATTATATTGCATTCTGACCTATTACATTCAATTCT